CCGGAGCTGGGGCAGTCACTCTTCAGCTGACAAAGGCAATGGTATCAGTTTCCTGTTAATCAACAACCGTTAGCAGCAGTCATTACCATGACTGCTTTCTGATTTGTTGTGTTGTCCTGAAGTGTTGTTTCCCGACCATTTTAGAGTCGTGCAGTAAAAAAAAAAGAAAAAGAAAAGGAGAGATAGCTTGCATTTGTTTGACCTTAAGTATGCCTTTAGTTGATAATTGTAAGAAAACACTCACTGTGTGTAGGCTGCCGCCTTTGGGTTGATAATTGTAAGATGATCCTGCTTGTATAACAAATGGTTGCTTGGTTTGACCGAGATTATGTTATTCCGTTATTAGAAAAACAAGGTACTATTATCTTAAAAAAACAAGGTTCTTGTCACTTTTGGGATGTTTTGTTTCAATTGATCTTGATCACATATAAACTCTGGGTCTCATCTAGGAGGAAGCAAACTGCTGTTCCGAGCACTAACCCATGAATATCTGAATTCAAAGTACTAACCCATAAATCTGATCAGTGAATTGAATTCGCCAGGCGATAAAAGTGAACTGAAATGGTTATGAGGTAATTTTTATCATATGATACACTTAAATTTGAATATTTGATGTTAGGATTTGCCATCTCTTTGAATCTAAATGATAATTTAGCACCCTGCATATGCAATAGTTTTAGGATTTTAAATTTTTAACTTCAACCAACTAGATTGATGACAAAAAAAACAGTGCATGAAAAGATTTATATACAAGTTATTTTCTCTTCAATTGAGTTTTGCATAACAAACATCCTGTTCGTGCGTGCTGCTCTATCAAATCTATCTTTTATTTCTTTCTTACTCCAAATGTAGGCTCAACTAATATAAACAGCTCTAAAATTTCCAGACACTGACAATTTTGTAATATCTTGAATAAATGATTATTTTCCTATGTACTACTTCCTTCTAATTTTTAGTGCAGTTGTGGGTTTTCATGTCTAACGTTTTATCATCTGTCTTATTTAAAAAATTTACGAAAAATTAAAAATAATATTAGTTACACATAAAGCACTATTTATGTTTTATCATCTAATAATAATAAAAATACTAATCATAAAATTTTTTCAAATAAGACGGACGGTCAATTGTTGGATATAAATAGTATAAAATTGCGGTCTTTTTAGGACGGAGGTGGTAGTAAAAGAAAAGAGCAACAAAGTCATTCAAACTATTTTAAATCTTCACACTAGTCTGAAAAATTTTGTATTTGAGATAACAGTACATAAAAGTGAAACATGTTTGGTTACCTATTCATTTTTTACTCCCATCTTTTGCTTACTCAATATCTTCAGCAGACCAATCTTTGAAATGATAGAAGCAGAATATACAATGGGCAGCAATGTCACACTTAAAATATATATAACCATCAAGAACAACTGCCACCTAAACAGCTAAAATCATTAATTGACAACACATAACAGACCTGAAAAAAAAATCTAGAAAATACTCATCTGTCAATGCAGCTATCTTCTGTCTTGACTTGTTACACTCCTTTTCCCTCCTTAAGAATCTTTTTATTTTATTTTACCTTTTTACGATGCAATTGGGTGTGGTGTGTCTTGGTAGCAAGCATGGCCAAAATGTATACTTTTGAAAAGAAGAATACTAGAGGGTTTATTTTTAAAACGTTATAAAAAGGTTTTACAAACAAAAACTTGCATTCAAGCCTAGTCTTTATTGTAAGATTTCCTGGACTCTTGAATCACATTCAAGTCAAATATTTCCTGTTGTTGAGGATGAGAATGGCATCAATGCCTTGAAAAGGTTTTATTTTGCAAATGGTTGACTTGAGAAAAACGCCGTTCATCAGGAAAACTAGCTAGTTTGTAAGTCCTGGAAACGAATCCTATATTTTCATAGTTGAGAAGCAATTGTTTGAACATTGTTATGAGTTTGTTGCTACACTGTTCTGAAGTAATACTACCTCTATATCAAAATATAAGCATTTTTAGCTATGAATCTGGACACATAGTTGCCAAGATTCATAGCTAAAAAAGCTTATATTTTGGGACGGAGGGAGTACAATAATAACAGTACTCAAGATTTGAATCGAACGCTGAAAGAAAATGCACTCTACTCATGCTTTGTACTCCCTTTGTCCCATTGTAAGTGTAGTGGGTTTTCGTGTTCAACGTTTGACCGTCCGTCTTATTTGAAAAATTTATGATAAAGTTTTAAAAATTAAGTCATGCATGAAGTATCATTCATGTTTTATCATCTAACAACATAAAAACACTAATCATAAAATCATTTCAAATAAGACGAACGGTCAAACGTTGGACATAGAAACTCACAACTACACTTAAAATGAGACGGATAGAGTAGTTTATTACGGAGGGTCTAATTTCGTATGTCCTTAATTTCCTCCTAACTAAATGAAAATCATGATGAATCAAAGTTACCTTGAAAGTCACATTTCTTCCTATTGTACCATCAACTACCATCTCACTCTTATCTATACACCATTTAATGAGATGCACCTTATTCTTTCTAATCAAATCTTAATATATCCTAAACAATCTAGAATTACAATTATTTTGACACAAATGTAGTAAATCGTTAGATACGTATATAAAATTTTACCTACATATTATTCTTTTTGTTAATAAGCCGGCATATAATTAACTCTACGCCAACTGATGAGGCCGAAGATGTGGTAGATACCTATCGAACCCTATAATCTTAATAATAGGAGCACCCTCACATGGCCTAGGAAAAACCATAGGACAAAACTGCACCACATCCTGATTAGTTATGATTTGTGAATATTATGACATGGGTATATTTCCATTAAAATAATGAAAAACCGGTTAATCCTGCAAAATTGAGGGAAAAATAATATCTTGAAAAATAAATTCATGATTTGGAGGAGGCCAAACTAGAATCCATGATATTACAATATCTCGTAACAGTGCTGGAGTGGTGTTTGTGAGTTCAGGGAGAGGGAGATTCTCTGATTTTTTTTCTATCTTTTCTAAGAATAGCTAAACTAGTTCTAGGAAAAGAATTTGTAATAAAATTTGTAGTACTAATAGGAGATGCCCCCTAACGTTTCATTTTGTCCAAGTATGTCCTTTGACCTGATACAATTCTTCGACACATAAAGTGCTACGTGGGCATGTGTACTATTTGTGGTAGGTTCTAACTTGTAAAATGACTTTATGGCCTGTGGATGCCCAAGCAAATAAAAAAACTCAGTGACACCATGTTAACTTGGTTCTTTTGGTAAAATATCTATACTTCTTCTTTAAAGATCCTAAAGACGGTGGTAAGTGGGTCCCCAGACATATCCCTTCCCCAACCTCAAGCCATAAAACAAGGGAATTTTCTAATGGTGACAAATAATGACTTGAAGATTTTATAATGAAAATAATTTTAACCACGGCATGGTTCTTTTTTTTTTAATTGCCATTGCAACGCACAGGCGTCCAACTAGTAGTAATAACATGAATAGTGTAAGAATTGAGGTGGCTTGTCTACTTGAATTCCTATGGATTAATAAAATGTAGGAATTTTTGAAAGGGGAAATTCGGTTCATAGCATGGGTGGGACTTCAAATTCGAAAAAATCCCATGAAAACTTTCGCACCTATGCTATCTGCATACTTAAAAAAAAAGAGATAGATAGATAAAAAAAATGGTTCCCATGAGGGCCAGCCTAATGAAAGAAATCGTTCAAAATTCCCATGAACTAAACAGTTCCATATAAATTTTGTAGACTAAACAGTTCCATATAAATTTTGTAGGATCTCAAATGTCCATTACTTTGTTTCAAAGCAGCACCAAGGAAAATTTTCCATGGATCTTACAAAAAAAAGTCCAGTTCATTTTCCTTTTGTTCGAAGGAGTGAACATGCATAGATGTGATCTAAACTTGTGAACTCCATTTCCACAACATCATGTGTTTTTTTTTATCAGGACCATATTACTACATTAGCGACTTTGATCATGCATCACTGTAATTCCGGACAGTGCGGTTTGAGAAAGAACAAAAAAAGAACTCTCACTGACTGAGTGCCTAACTGGTAACTTGTCTAGCGTTCTGCAAGACCTGATGAAAGGGTTTGCCTTGTCATCATAGGTAACTAAATACCGGCTAATCCCAAAGAACAGACTTATGTCTATACTCCTTCCGTCCTATAATATAAGGGATTTTGATGGTAACTTGTCTAGCGTTCTACAAGACCTAATGAAATGGTTTGCCTTGTCATTACAGGTAACTAAATGCCGGCTAATCGGCTAATCCCAATGGACAGACTTATGTCTATACTCCCTCCGTCCCCTAATCCCCTAATATAAGGGATTTTGAGTTTTTATGTCTATACTCCCTTGAGTTTTTATGTCTATACTCCCTCCATCCCCTAATATAAGGGATTTTGAGTTTTTGGTTAAACTGTTTAACCACTCGTCTTATTTAAAAATTTGTGCAAATATAAAAAACAAAAAGTTGTGCTTAAAATACTTTAGATAATAAAGCAAGTAAAAAAAAATAAATAATAATTCTAAAATTTTTTGAATAAGACGAGTGGTCAAACAATTCAAACAAACACTCAAAATCCTTTATATTAAGACGGAGGGAATCCTTTATATTAAGACGGAGGGAGTACCGTTTTTAATTGGAGTCTATTGACAAGATAGATAACACATAGCATAACACAGAGAAGCAGTTATAAAACGCTTTGCTTCATGTCACATGATATATAGAGCAAAGTCAAGATCGAAAACGGACTAAAATCATGGATAGTCTGGGCTTGTTTCATGCCGGGTAACGGAGAAGTTACCAGATGTAAAAAACAAACAAAAATAAGTCATGGATAGCGCATCCTTACGCATGCATAGAGACATTTGAGGGCAAAATAAACAGCACGTCAACAGTTACTGTCCAACGCAAGAAGCCCAGAAGCACAGCAAGCAAAACAAAGCAGCAGCAGAAGCAGCGCATCAGCAGTTTACCTTGAGTGATTTCAAACAGAGCTAATGGAATAAAAACAGACATTTAAAACACCTCCATTGTCATCTCAACATAACATAACTAGAAGTAGTACCTTGAGTGATGTTTACGTTATTACACCACATCTATGAAAAAGAACAGAAGAAAAAGAAAACCCAGTCATTGTGTATTGTTCTGGAATTTGATGCTTGAGCAGGTGATGACCATTCAGGTGAGCCGGTTCATCACTAAGAGACTGCAAACTGAGGCTCGAAGGACGTAGATTAATTAGCCCTGCTTGTTGGCATAGTTGTCAGGCTCGTCATCCTTGAAGAGGTCATCCATGAGCTCATCGTTCTTGCGGCTTCCAAAGCTGTCACCACCGGCACCGGAGAAATCACCACCGCCAGTGGAACCTCCAGCATCACCAAAGCTTCCAGCTGGGTTTCCACCAAAACTACCATCACCACCTAAGTTGATTCCAGAGAAGGCATCTGCAGATCCTTCTGCAACTCCATAACCACCTCCACCACCACCCCTGTTGCCATACCCTCCATTGTTGCCACCATAACCACCGCCGCCTCCTTGGTAGCCGCCGCCGCCACCACCACCACCACTGTAGCCACCACCGCCATAGCCACCACCACCACTGTAGCCACCACCACCATAGCCGCCACCGCCGCCGCCATAGCCACCGCCTCCATAGCCACCACCCCCACTACGGAAGCCACCAGTTCTCTCATTGGCAGTGTTAACCCTGATGTTACGCCCATCGAGATCCTGAAACCAGCCAGGAAGAAAATAAGCTGCTGGATAAGATTGAACAAAAATGACTTTGGTTTAATGGAACTGTTGCATATTTTTTTTAACTAGAAAACCAGAGGTAAATAATCAAAGCATCAACACCATAATGCATAGTAAAATAACAAATAAGAAGCTCAATCAGAACCTTTGAAATGGAACATCTCCAATTTCTGTAACAAGGAATCTAGAGTAGGAATATTCATTTAAGCGATCGTGTTGCATACAAGCTGATCAGGCAGCATGAAATTTGACATTCTACAAACCATATCTTTTGCAAAAGTATGGAAACATGGCAGTGTTGAAAATCCACTTAAATTGGTTTGCAGTGGTAAAATCCATTAGAGTAATAGAAATTAAGGGCTCCAAAACTTTAGAAGCATTCTAAGTGAATTTAACCAGCATAAATCATTACACCTTAAGTTTGACAGAATACCTATTAAGTCTGGATAAACATATAGATGATGGGGTAAAAAATTAAATTAAACCTAATCTGACCCTCACCATACAGGGACCAACTCTTAGAATCCTGGAACATAAACATGATGCCCGCTAAAATTAATTCCCTATAAGATTACCTTTCCATCCAAGGCTGTGATTGCAGCTGAAGCCTCTTCACTTGATGCGTAAGTTATGAAGCCAAAACCTCTAGACCTCCCAGTTTCACGGTCATTGATGATCTTAGCTGGACAGAACAAAAGTAGACCCCGTTAACAAAACAAAGGACCAACAGGAGTGCAGTTACAAAAATAAGGATAAGATACCTTCAATAACTTGACCATAATTGGCAAAAGTATCTCTGAGGCTCTGCTCATCTGTGCCGTACGAAAGGCCTACACCAATAATTTGTAGCCATCAGAAAAGAACAGTACAGAGAGAATAATTGTTTTCTGAACAAATGATCAAACAGATAAAATATAGTATTTGCAAACCTCCAACAAAAAGCTTTGAGGATGACATGCATCTGATTGATTGATAGAGAGCTGGACTTGAGCTCGTGGCTCTCTTGAGCAGATTACCAATCTTATTAGCCAACGCCATTGTTCCAAACTACATGCAGTGGTGAAACAAAGGAAGACATAAATATAGCCATCTAAATAACACAATACAGCTGGAGCAAGTCCTTGTAGTGTCACAGGAAGAAACAATAACAGCAAGAAGAAACACAAAAACAGAGTGGTTGATTAGAATCCGAGCTCGATGGGATTGTGCAGACACCAATTTACAGAAGAAAGCAATGCCATACATCTAACAACTAAATCAGACATCTCATATAGCAATTAACTTCAATATCATTCCATCTCATATCTCAAGAACGATGGAATGGTTTTAAAAATTGCACCACTTGCAAGTGGAAATCTCAATAGGAACATCCCAAGCTGGACTATCTCAACGTTACTAAAATAATAACATCAGTTACATGCTGAAATCCACATTTAAAAAGGAAAAAGCCTAAGATATTCACTATTGGAGGCCAAAAAAAAGGAAGATTTAAGATAGTTGACTTTATGGCACATAGTGCCCAGTTTTACGGTTTCAAAGATTCACAGAATTCATCCTTGTTCAAATCTTATATCTAATAATAGAATATCTGAAAGAATATCAACTAACACAAGGTTTGATATTCAATACTATTTCATGGACACTTTGTAACATGATAAATCAAGCAAACATGCTACAGGCCATCAGAATACTAAGGGTTTTCTGCAACTTCAACCATAAAACATGTGATTTTTTTTTAACAAAACTTACTCAAAGATCAAACCTCGCAACATATGAGAATCTGCAGGCCCTCAAATACCGACCCAAAAACTTCCATTCATCACCAACCCCATGGTGACATCTACTCACCCTCCACCATTCCAGCCCCCCTCCACCTCCAGCCAAAAAAACCATAAACCCCACGAGGCGAGCAACAACAGCGCAACACCAATAGATCGTCTATCTTACGAACCACGGAGATCTCCACGAACCCTAACGCACCCTGCACACCGCCAACCAACTAAACAAACGCATTCATCCACCCAGCCACCAAAAAGCCCCCCAAAAAAATGGGGGCAAATTCGCACCAAATCAACGGATCACACCGATGCGCGACGAACCCCGCACCACCACCCCCCACACGCGAGATATATTATATATATCAAATCAATCGAAGAAAATTTCAACGAAATTAGATGGGGAATTCGCGAGCTAGGGTTTACACGTCTCACCTGACGAGGGTTACTAAAAAAAATAACATCAGTTACATGCTGAAATCCACATTTAAAAAGGACAAAGCCTAAGATATTCACTGATGGAGGCCAAAAAAAAAGGAAGATTTAAGATAGTTTGACTTTATGGCACATAGTGCTGGTTTTAAAGATTCACAGAATTCATCCTCGTTCAAATCTCATATCTAATAATAGGATATCTGGAAGAATATCGACTAACAAGTTTTGATATTCAACACTATTTCATGGACACTTTGTAACATGAAAAATCAAGCATGTTACTAAGGGCTTTCAGCATCTTCAACCATAAAACATGTGATTCTTTTTTTTAACCAAAACTTACTCAAAGATCAAACATTGCAACAGATGAGAATCTGCAGGCCCTCAAATACCGACCCAAAAACTTCCATTCATCACCACCCCCATGGTGACATCTACTCACCCTCCTCCACCATTCAAGCCCCCTCCATCCCTCCAGCCAAAAAACCCTAAACCCCACGAGCCGAGCAACAACAGCGCAACACTAATAGATCGTCTATCTTACGAACCACGGAGATCTCCACGAACCCTAACGCACCCCGCACACCGCCAACCAACTAAACAAACGCATCCACCCACCCAGCCACCAAAAAGCCCCCCAAAAGAATGGGGGACAGATTCGCACCAAATCGCTGGATCACACCGACGCGCGAAGAACCCCGCACCACCACCACCCCACGCGGGATATATATTAATTAATCAAATCAATCGAAGAAAATTTCAACGAAATTAGATGGGGAATTCGCGAGCTAGGGTTTAAGCGTCTCACCTGACGAGGGTTTACGATGGAGAAGGCGGCGGCGAGGGGGGAAGGAAAAAGATGCGCCCGTGGAGCCGTATATAGGGCTCGAGGAGCGATCTCAGCCGTCCGATCGGAACGGGGCGGCGGTGGTCTCCGCCGTTGGATCTGGGCGTTGACTTGTCAACGACAGATATTTCTTGGGGACTGGGAAAAGCGTGGGCCCCGCATGTCAGTGGAAGTGAGCCCTAGTTTATAATTTAGAATAGTTCGAGGGGGTTAATTGCAAAAAGTGAGGGTTTGTGAGATCGGCGGCGAGAGATGGCGGCGCCGAGGGAGAAGTCCGCCGCGGCGACCTCGTCGGCGGCGGCGGCGGATGCGGCGGGGGCGGGGGGTGGAGGGGATCGGTGGGGCGCGGCGGTGGGGAACCTGACGGAGCTGGGGGCGAACGTGGCGGCGCTGCAGAGGCTGCTCGCGAAGAAGGCGGTGTTCGTCGACGAGGACATCTTCTCCAAGGCCTCCCTCGCCGCCGACCAGGCCCGCACCATCAAGGTGATTTTGCTCTGCTTTGCTTTGCTCGTTGCTGGTGCTCCTGATTCGCCCCCAATCCCTTCGCCGGTATCCTCGGCGATGCTGTTTTGTCAGTAAGTGGAATGTAGGATTTGCAATTGTTGTTCGTATCCCAGATGCGTCGTGAATTTGATGTGGATTCTACTCAACCCAGCTGAATTGGTGTCGACTCCACTCAAAATGTGACTGGGTTGATTAGATCATTCATCAATCATCATGTAGTTATCATCAGAATGATGTGTAGTGTGAACTCTCCAAGAACTCTCCCAGTGTAAAAGAAGAATGGTTTGATCTGATCAGATCTTGAGTGATTGCACTAGGTGAACCGCTGAGATCCTTGTTTGAGTAAAATAAGAACAATTTGATTCACATCCTCATTGATATGACATAGTCATTTGGGATGGCATATCCGAGAAACCAGTTTTATACATGAGATTAAGATTATTCGTTATATCTCAGTAGTTAGGAGCATTATTTGTGCTAATGTGTACTCTCCCTAACTTAGCATTTGTGATCAAGGTACTTGGCATATATTGTTCTAATCTAGGTTTAGATCACTGGAAAGCTATCAAGAGAACCCTGTACTATCTACAAGGGACTAATACTACATGCTTAGTCAAAATCAACTATCAAGTTTTCAAAGATAGAATCTAGTATCAACCAATTAATTTTCAGCATACAAGTAGTTAAGTACTAAGTTAATGATTGTTGACCCCCTTACTAAGTCTTGTCTCCAAATCTCCTTCGAGAACTTATTGCCAGTATGATACTAATGAAAAGCTCATATAACTCAGGGATAATTATAATGATAAGATGTCGAATTTTGATTCTGGAAATATTGAAAGTTTGTTTCTCCCTTACGAAGTGCACATAATGATTAATGGAAAAACAACCTATGAAACTATATTGAGGACCATGAGAAAGGAGTATGATCACGTTCTTTCTGAACTCCCAAATGCCGTAAATAATAACCCATATGAGATATAGTGGTATACCATAGACAATGAAGTTCAGTTATGATTATTTTGTCACCCTAACTACATTATCTTTGTGTGGTGCTCTTGCCAAAGTATGGACTAAGATTAGTTATTCAATCAAGTGGGAGAATGTTAGACCATTTAGTGTGATCCATGAGTGAATTGTGTAATTAACCCATTGGTTGAAGGGCAAATGGGTAATTAAGCAATTAGCCTGTCACAAATGGTTAATTCGCTGATATGCTTTGATCGTGGGGCTAAATAGAATTTATAGAAAAGGGTCAGGTCCCTAGTCAGATTTTACACTATAAATTGAGGAGCATCTTGTTACCACAAATCTAAGTGCTTCTTGTGTGTCAGCAAGTGACTGCCTCACAACCTCATTCCCGAACTAATTAGGAAGTGCAATTTGGTTGGCTCAAAGGCTGATCCACTCCAGAGGAGGTTTCGTAGGACAGATCCCCTCGATTCATTGTCACTCGTTCATGGATCATCCCGATGAACATCCTCAGGAGTGGATTGGGCTTCAAGACAGCAAATTATACTTCCGGATTGGTTTGGGAATAAACTTTTTGGAGCTCACTTACTGTGACATGAGAAGTAGTTAAGTTCGCAGTAGTGGGACGCCCCCTTAATTTATAGCGCATAACCTGACTTGGGACCTAAGCCTTTCTGATAGCCTAATTACTTAAGACTCATGTTATCTTTTAGGCTAATGGACCAATTGCATATCTAATCCATTGATCAAACTAAATGATCTAACACACTTGTGCAGATTGGTGGATCTCGTGAGTGATTGGAACCTATATTTTGGGGTCACAAGTTCTCACGAAAATCAGAACACTAAAACTGATGACCTGTAGCTAATCTAGTGGACACCATGTAGATATTAGGATCATTCTGATTTTTGTTCTTTTGTATTCCGTCCTGTGTTGGCAACATTAAATATGGTATTGACATCATAGTACTCACATTTCTGTGTTCATATAACATGTTGGTTAGATGTCACAAATTATTAACCTTTCATAACCTCTCCATATCTGAAAAAAGGTTGATATGGGATCTGCTCAATCTACCTTTTCAAAATTTGATCTTGAAAATATGTCAAAGTATATTTATTGGCTACATGAGAAAATATTAAAATTTGGCTCTTGCAAAATACTTTTATAATAGATAAGTTCAATCATTTTGCTAGTATAAATTATGATAGTATACCATAGGCCCAGTCATACATTGGAGACTGCAAGAAGTAAAAACCGACTTATATTTAAGCTGGAGGGATGTATTTCATCTCTCTCCAGAAATACTTAATAATTTTGCAAGTCAATGGCTGCAAATGTGAAGCAGTAAATTGGCATTCATGGCTTTACGCCAGTACATTATTATTACAAAAAATTCACCGAGACTTATTTATGTTGTAGAAGTGTGCTGTCATTGCTGTCCATATTTACTTTGCTAAAATACAATTGTTAAATTGTATGTATGTTGATAATAAGCCACCATGTAAGATTCATGGTTCTTAACATTTTTATCATTACAAATATAAAAATATGTTGTAGTCAATGGCTGCAAATCTGAAGCAGTAAATTGGCATTTATGGCTTTACGCTAGTATATTATTATTACAAAAATATAAAATTCGCTAAAACTTATATTTATGTTGTAGAAGAGTGCTGACATCACTCTGATGTATGTTGGCTTTTAACTAAACATTGTCCCAAAAGAAGCTATGTAAGATTCATTTGCACTTCTTGTTGCATGTTAGATTCTTGACCAGAGGGTGCAGTCGCTGGAACGTGAACTAGATGCTGCCATTTCTGCTGCTGCCCGAGCTCGTACAGAGAAACGCCAAGCTGAAGCTGCTCAACGAGCTGCGGAGTTACGTGCGCAGGAAGTGACCAAGGAATTGGAGAACACTGCAAGTATGTTATGTTTCGTTGTAAACCATTGGCATTTGGTAACTGAGCGTGTCAAAAGCTGAATGTCTTATCTGGTTTCATTTTATCATCTTGCAGAAGTGTTCAAGCTACACATGGAAGAGTTGCGGGCAAAGCAAGAGGAGATTGCAAAGAAAGAAAGTGATATCAAGGTGTTAGAAGCAATAATTCGAACCCTGAGTAACAAAGATGATGGGGGATCCAGCGAATAATTTCCATTCAGTAGCATTGTTTTTTTTTTCAATGGAATTTACATGTTCAAGTATATCATCCATGTATTAATATAAGCCCTTAGGTAACAGATTATTGTAAATGTTCGCAACAGGACATCCAAACAGATTGAAGATGAACATTACAACTGATATGCTTGACTGTTCATCTGCCACTGCCCAGCCCTACTACACCTAACTTGCTGCTGGAGGGTCTAACTGACTATTGGAAACAAAGTATTGGTTCTTATTACTATGCAACAGCTAGCAATCATCAAGGAGAAGATGCAGCATTTGATTCCTAGTAAAGTTGGTGGTTTATTCATCTCTTTTTTCGAGATTGGATCCTTTATAGTTTATTCACATCAAAGTTTGTGGTATTCTTATGCTTGTAATTTAGTTTGTTTCCACTGGGATCCTGTATTATGCTTAAGAGGAATACCCAGCGATATTATGCTTGAGAAGAACTGACAGACGATTGCAATTTGTATACAAGCTTTGTACAACAAATTGATACTGTCATTTGTGCTCCCGTATGGCCATATACCAGTAAAAAAAAAGAATTTACAATGAAATTTCTCAGCGCAAGAACACCAACTCCATCAATTTAAGTTGTGCTTTGGATACTAATTCTGAAGCACTGATGATTTGACTTATGATGCTTGTTGGTATCACAACCATCTCAAAACATACAAGGACGTGTTGGTGACAAGGTATTATATGGACACATTCTCTCTTCCTAGTACAATCATCGAATGAACCTTCTTCCTTTTTTTCCCCTACATATATTAATCTATTTTTAGTCATCCCCTCATACTCAACCATGTATTATAGTTGGTAGAACATTACACTACATCTTAGGCAGAAGATCACCATCATAAGCTGTCATGCTGATGATCTCTAATCCACCGCGATTGCAATCTACCATCCCCGTTCGTTTTCCCACCAAAACTCGCACAAACAAATTTACCACAACTCCAGGAACCTCAGCGCAAAACTTCCTCTCCACTAGTATGCCAAAACTCATTAGACCGTTTTCATTATTGAATGAATTATTGTCGCAAATATTGTAAAAACTAAATATCTTAAAAAATAAACCTAACAAATAACTTAAGAAACTTAGTCTTAAGTATATTGAAGTGTAAGAAAAATTTTCAAAAAAATGTACTATATTTTTCCAATACATAAAGAAAATAATCTGATGCAATAATACTATAATTAAGTTGAAAACATGGCTATAAATTTTCGCACAATCAGGCGTCAGCGAAAACACTCTGTTCACTATAAAAACCGACTTACTTCCTTCTATAGTAGGTTCAATTTTAACCTTTTTATTTATCTCAAAATAGGTTCATTTTTATAATCATTGTATCAAAATTTGTTGTGAAAGTAGGAGATAAATATATTTAGAAGTAGATAAAGTGAAGAATAATTATATTGAGGTTTGATAAAGTAGGGGTATTCTAGTCATCTTAATGTTGTATTAGTATCCGTGGGGTATATAAAAATAGGACATCATGCTCTGGTGTTGGGCTCAACCAACTACAAAGGTCCGAATAATGAATAATGAATAATGCATGTCGTAAACTTGAGTCAATAGTCATGTAACTCTTTGCCAAGTTCAGATGGAGATTCACAAATAGGATCTGAAAATTGTGTTTTCTTTATCCTGTGTTGGTTTTCATTAGTGTGTGCTTGCTTAAGGTTTGGTTAGAGTGTAGTTCTATGAAAGCTTTTGAACGATTTTTTAAATAATGGGTTATAGCTCTTTGCGCAAAGACCGGAATGATATTCCATTATCTAAATTGTAAAAATTAACTTGTTGTGCGACGGAGGAAGCATTAGAATTTCGCACAAACACAGGGACCTCACCGCAAAAACGCACCTTCCTAAATAATGGCGGCCGCCGACCGAATCGCAGCAGCGAGCAGCGATCCCACTCCTCCTCCTCCTCCCCTTGTTCGTCGTCTCCGCGGAATCGATCGCGCCGCGCGCCCACGCCCTTCCTCCCTCCCGGATCCGGCGCGTAAGGTGCGTGCCCTTCCCGAATCCGCGTCCCCACCCCGCGGGCCGTTTCGAGCCCCCCGATTCGGTGGAGATTTCGCGGAAATCCTTGTGAATCTTGGGGATTCTGGTGATGCGATGATGATGATGATGATGTTAGAGGTCTAGGACGGTTTGCGGGATTGAGCGAATGCGCGGTGGATTGGATTGGATTAGGGTGTTAAGAGGCTTTTGGCCAAATTTTGTGCCCGCCTCACTGTGATGCAAATCTTAGCTCCGTGGTTTGATGGTTTTTGGGTTTGATCCGTTTGATGCTTTGATTTTACTATTTTAATGTTGTGGAATGCAGATTAGGTGCAGAAATTCGCTGTGTTCTTTTTTTTTTCATTTCTGATGAGTTGTGTGCAGGGAAGATGCTAGTTATAGCAAACGGACGGAATGATTTGGATTATCGGTGCAAATCATTGCGCATGTTTGGATCACGCACGGAATCTTTGTTGTGACACTATCTTGCGCTCGCTTTGTTCCAAACGCAGCGCTATTATTGGAGAATTTTATAGTGTGATGTTTCCTAATACCATCTGTGACCGTGACTATAATCAAATGGTTGTTGAGGTGGATACGTCGGCAGGCTGTACCTAACTAAGTTGATCTGCATAATTGGAATGTTCTTGATATTATCAACACAACTACATCGAGATACATAAAAAAGAGGAAAATGCCATACAAGTTCTGTATAGATATTCATTAATCTGTTTAGATAATTAGTTCATTTTGTAAGAAAAAAGAAACTGAGCGTAAGGAAGTGGTTGCTAAATTTACGGTTTCCATTTTTACACGTTAGGTATGCCATGTATTATGACCTATGCAATTTCCCATTTATGTTTGAGATAGTGTATTGATAGTCAAATGCTCTAAAGCCTCTAACATGTCGTGGTGCTTGACCACTTACACGCCACATTGTTGTTATGCTGTCCAATAAGATGTTCATGCATTCCAACCTGTGAGCCTAGGAAACGGACAAATTAGATGACGACAACTGAATTTCTTCTTTTCTTTAGGGTTTGTACAGGCAAACAAACTTAGCACCAATTATATTCACCTTTTGTCTTAAATGTCTGCTATTTTCTAAAGTTTTGCAGTTGGCCTTATGTATGTTTGAGATTTAATTAGTTCTTTGAGAATAACACTCGTTTTGTATCTGAAACTAATTTTGCAGAGTAATTGACCTTTGAAGTTCTATAAGATGGGTCGTGGTGTTAGCAGCGGGGGTGGTCAGAGTTCCCTGGGCTACCTGTTTGGTGGTGGTGAAGCTCCGAAGTCAGCTGAGAAGCCTGCTCCAGTTCAAAAGCCTGCCCCTTCGTCCTCTGCAGAGAAGCTGAAAGAGATCCCAGCCGGTATTCAAAGTAGTAAGGCGAACAATTACATGAGGGCTGAAGGTCAAAACTGTGGAAATTTCCTTACGGTTAGTGTCCACTTTCCATTATAAAAACTTCAATTAGGGTTACTATCCACTTATGGTTAGCATCAATAATTGAATGCTAGTGGAAATACGAACCTTACTGCAATAATGTCTTTTGGGGGGGCATTTTGATAAGTAGTAGTTGATCAGGAATTCTAGGGGAGTTCCTTAAGTAGAAACTCATTATTTCAGGTTGGCACTTTTGCCTTAACTCAGTAATTTTACAAATTTCTGCATGTGAATATTACCATCTCATGCTGTCTTGAAGAAATATCCATTTTGTACTCATTTAACTCTCAGACTGTACATTGTCTGGTCTGAAACGTGCTAAGATGCCTTACGTAACACACAAGCTCACTTCGTAAGCATTTTGCAATTGATCTTACTTGCATTGCGTCCGATTTGAGGCTTTATGCTGACATTTCTTTCCCTTTTGTTTGCACAGGACCGTCCGTCAACCAAGGTGCAGGCTGCTCCAGGCGGTGGTTCATCACTTGACTATCTCTTCAGTGGCAACAAGGATGGCAAGTGACGGTCACTCTGCTGTCCGGTTTACCATGAGCTCTGGATGAAAGGTTTCTGCTCAACAAAAGCATGTTTTCCCATGAGTAACTAACTATCCAATGTATCTGCTCATGGTATGTCACAGAAACTGTTGTTATGTATGCATGTGTCTGTGCTTATTCTGTGTTGATGTATGCGTGTGCTTATCAGCAGCTACTTGTGCAATGAACTGATGGTATGTTCATCCTGTTGCATGTTAGTTCATGGAACCGGGTCTTTATGCTAACATTAATGTGCTTGCTTCTTTAATGTATAATAACTGTGTTCTAGTTGTGTCATACCCCTCGGATTGGACATGGTTGTGGTTTGATGCTCATTGTTGAAGCAAGAAATGTCTCTGTTCTGGGTGGCATATTTGTGATATGTTTTCCACATGACCCATGTTCTGTGTGTTTGCTGCTTTAATGTGTAATAACTGTGTTCTAGTTGTGTCGTACACTCGTACCCATTAGATTGGACATGGTTGTTGTTTGATGCTCATTGTTGAAGCAAGAAATGTCTGTGTTATTGGAGGCATATTTGTGATATATTTTTCTACATGCATGACCCATGTTCTTTGTGGCGTTTTAGTTCTGTTCTGTATTTGCTGAAACGGTGAAGATCAAGTAGTTATCTGAAATCTAGAGCTGGTGAGTTACTTGGCTTTAGTTTACCCACTACACCAGTCAAAACAAATTTGTTATCCATTGCAAATTAAGTGTAGTTTTTATTTTGCGAAGAAAATTAAGTGTTACATTATGATATTTCGAAAGCTATATTTCCGGACCTTAAGATCAGGATTCATATCTAACGATGGCCTTGACTTGCAGTACTTCAGTGCCAGCCACATTTTGACAAATTCCAATGCAATGTTGGCCTAAAAATTATCTTGGAACAAACAGGATGGTGAATTTTTCTAAAAATATTTCACAAACTTTCAATGCATGATTGCATAAAAGATAAAGGTATTTCTGGATGATAAGATGGTGAAAAATGAAGTTATTTTGAAACAAATCTAAAGTAGTTAAAGGATTAATCTTTCTCACCACCACAATTTGCCACGTCATCAGAATAATCAGAGCCGTTACATGCAGCATACATATAAAGTAGTGAAAGGATTAATCTTTCTCACCACCACAATTTGCCACGTCATCAGAATAATAAGAGCCGTTAGATGCAGCATGCATTCAATAGATAACAGCGGATCTAGAGAGGATGGGCCGGTAAAAGATGACTCATCAGGTCGGATTCAGGACTCAGACTCAGGAGTCTTCGGAAAGGATTAGAGAAAGAAAGCAAGGATTAGAGAAAGAAAGAAGACCTATAGTCAAATGGAAAAGGAAGGTCACGTATTCTCTCCATCCATCAAAGTTATACCTATTTCACCTTTGAGTTTTTTCAAATAAGTTGTTCCTATTTGTAGGCTTTATGCATTCAAAACTTAAATGAAGAGATAAATTAAATGTTTAATTAGAACCCAAGGAGTCACCTAAACACTTGTTGGTTGCATGCTTGCACTCACTCCTTGATTTTGTAACAACCAGGATGATTCGATTTCTCCTTCTCTTGGTGACAAAAGTAATAGGTAGCATAACTTTTATGGATGGAGGGAGTACTAAGCAAGCTTCCTGGTATTAGCTAGATAGACCATAGCTATTGGGATTACGCATGATGTAATTAGATTAGCAAGGAAGTTAGTCAATTTTAAGTGTTTTTAAGGCATTAGAGACAAAGTTGACATTGGTTATTTTATGATTGAGAGTAAAATATTTGAAAATATGAAAAATATTATTGCAAGGCAATAACATGATTAACAAAAATAGAATAATAGGATATATAAACAAAGGTAAAAGATAGGAGGATCAAAATTATTGAATAAAAGAAGAAAAAAGTATGTATTCAAGCAAATTATGATTCAAGTGGAAAAACATGATTAAATTTTTAATCTTAATGCCCATGGTAAATTACCTACGGTAAGAGTTGTAATTGATATGCGAATTTCTAAATTATGAAAGATTCACACAATTACCACTCTAGACCGATTGCTTTTCTTAATACCACTTTCAATCATTTACCAAATAAAAAATGGTTTTAAGATATTGAACATGTCAACAAATGTATATTAATATTATTTCTTGATCATTTACAAGCACAAAAAATAGGCAAAATTTGCCACAGGATATCCAAAAATCATGTAATTAGCTAGAAGACACCCAAAAAAGGCGACACTGCCAATGGACACTATAAAATTTGTGCAATTAGCTATAGGACACCCGAGGCAATATTTTATTATTTTCAGTGAAAAAGAGGAGAGAGAAATTTCAAAAGGACGGAAATGCCCTCAGCCTCAGTACCTGAAATCCCCATCCAACTTCAACTGCGGCGGCGGCTTCGGCTGGTTGCGGCGTTGGGAAGCGACGGCGGTGGTGATGGCTCGGCCGGTCATGGTGCACCAGGAGCTCGCCGCGCTGCAGGAGCTCGCCGTGCACGCCGCGAACTCTGGTGAAGGCGCCACGCCGCCGCCGTGGTGCGTCTCGAAGCTGAGCCCCACGGCGCCGTCGCCGCCGCCGCAGGCCGCGGTCTGCAGGTCCTGTTCTCCACCGACCCGTCGCCATGGATCCACCTCAAACCTGCACACACATCAACAAGAAACCAATCAACGGCAACAAATCGATCGAATGCAATGCACAAATCACAATGGCGATGGAGCCGCTCGCCACCACCACCCGCTGCTGCAGCCGCTCTGCAACGCTGCCGCCGCCGCCACGGCGCAGAGCTCGGCCAAGTCCGCGCCACCGACGCCGCAGCCGCACCAGCAGTTGCCCGCCGCCGCCGCGCACCTATCCGCCACGACGCACCTGTCCGTCGCGCCGTGCGTATGGTGGCCGTCGCGCCTCGCCGTCGCTGGCGGTGAGACCCTGGCGGAGCGCCGCCGCTTTTTCTGCTGCGCGCCGAGCCGTCCCGGCTCGGGCCGTCGCTCCATTCCTCCGCTCCGCCACGTGCGTGAGGAAGAAGAGGATAGGAGAGAGATGTGGACCCCACTTATGATTAGCAAATAGTAATCATAATGCATTCATAGCATTGTGGTACATTTCTTGCAATTGATTATGAATAACCAATACTATGAAAATCATCTTTCGTGGCGGCCATTTTGGGTTTTCTCTGGCGGAAATTGCAGCCGCCACAGAGCAAAGGCCAGAGAAAATATCAATATTCGCTAGCGGTTATCGGCCGCTAGCGATAATCAATTTTTGCTGCCGGTTGTGTTATACCGGCCGCCAGCAAAAATCGATTTTCGCTGGCGGCTGTGTTATACCGACCGTCAACGATAATCAATTTTCACTGGCGGCTGTGTTATACCGGCCGCCAGCGATAATTAATTTTGAGATAAAAAAAACCATATGCAGTTGTCCTCCAGCCGCCAGCAAAAGCCCCATGCTGCTAAGCATCCCAAATCTACATCCCCAAATCTCAAATCCATAACAATTCAAATCCACATCAAATCCAACCATCCAACCTTAAAAGAATACTACATCAATTTCTCACTTCATTCTTAACAAACAAACATCAATACATGCATATATGAAACATCAATACAAACATAAATTGGAGAAATTCATTAAAATCGTCGTCGTCCGCCTGCCATCGCCGCCGCGGCGGCCGCCCCCTCCCTCCGGCTAGATCTGGGAGAGGGAGAGGGAAGGGAGGAGGAGGCCCTCCGGTCGTCGTCACCAGTCGCCGTGGTCGTCATCGTCGTCGTGGCCCGGCCCATTGTCGTCGTCGTGGTGGTGGTCGCTGTGCTCATTGTTGTCATCGTGGCCCGGCCCATCGTTGTCGTCATCGTCGTGGTACGACGGCGGCGGATCCGGCCTCCCCGCCCGCGCCCGAGAGCCATCGCCCGCCGCGCTCGAGCGCCGCCACCCCGCCACGCCCGAGAGCCGCCGTCCCGCCTCACCCGAGCGCTGCCGCCAGGTCCGCCTGTCGTCGCTGCCGCCAGGTCCGCCTGTCGTCGCTGCCGCGGCGGCCGCCGCCCCCTCCCTCCGGCTAGAACTGGGAGAAGGAGAGGGACGGGATGGGAGGGGAGGGGAGAGAGGTGAGTGGAGATGAGAAAGAGATAATGAGGAGAGATGAATGCAGTGGGTGGGTGGGTGAAATTGCTTTTAAATGCGTGGGTGGGTGATGCTGTGAAGGAATCGATCTGTGAGCTGTGCTTTTCGCTGGTGGATCCGTTTTTTCGCTGGCGGATCTCTTTAGTACCCGCCAGCGAAAACACTGATTTATGCTAGCGAACATTTAAGAGGTCCGCCTCGAAAAATATAGTATTTTTTATGGCGGACCTATTAATATGGCCGCCAGCGAAAATTAGTTTTCGCTGGCGGCCCGTGACCCCCCACCCCCTCAATTTTCTACGCTGGCGGTTTTTGCTTGTAGTCGCCATGAAAAATATTTTCCAAACGCTATGAAAAATCGTTTCTCTAGTAGTGAACCTTAAACATGTGATTCTTTTGTAAAATTTATATACAATAAGTACAAAATTATCTATAAACAAACTCTTAGCTTTGGGGTTCGCATCAAGGTGAGTATAGTAAAAATGAATTTACTATAACAAATGCACTGGTAGGTTATACTAAATGTTGTAAAATTTATTTAGCATATGTATGCAAAATTGACGATAAATATAGAGGGTGTCATGGTCCTTCTTCTTAGTGGCATATGCCATAGTCCACCTATAGAAATTGAAAAAAAGTCATGATGGTCACGCAACGCGTGACGAATGTGGCTAGTAAAATGATGAAAAATGAAGCTAGTTTGGAATGGGGGAGTGTACTAAAATATAATATAACTTGAGTTTAAATTTTATCCCAAATATAATAACATAGTACTTTTAAAATGTGACTTTTACAATTTAACAACTCGATCATACTACCTCTATTAACATTTTGGCTTTATTATATTCTCAACTAGTGAGGGTTCATATCTCACCCATCCTTAAAAAAAAATAAAGTAGTACTACCCCATCTCAAAATAACTAGTTTCTCCGTCCTAAAATGTACTCCCCCATTGCATAAAAAACCAATCTAGTACTGGTTGTGACACATCCAAGCTAGTATAATGAATCTGGATATACCTCTGTCCAGATTCATTGTACTAGAATATGTCACATCTAGTCCTAAATTCGTTTTTTTGGGACGGAGAGAATAAGTATTTTTTAGATTGACATAGGTATTAAGAAAGTAGGTAGAGATGATTGGAGAAGGGGTATAATTGGTGGAGAAGAGAAAATATGTGAAGAGAATGGTCGTGATTGGTTGACAGTGAAGGGTAGGTGGAGAAATGGTTTCATTTTGGGACAAGTTATTGTGCTAAAAATAGCTATTCTAGAAAGATAAAATTTGAATAAGATGAATTTTTTTTAATTGAGAGAGTAATTGGGGTAAGACGAAGAGAAATTTGAATGAGATAGGATTGAAGTGACAAGTACTAGTACTCTAGAATTGCATGCACTGATTTGAAAATAAATTTAGATTCTGAAATTGTGCTTACTCCTTTCGTAAAAAAAAACTAACCTATGATTAGATGTAGCATATCCTTACAACAAATTTGTACATGAACTTATCCAAATTCATTGTATTAGGATATATCACATCCAATAGTAGATTTGTTTTTTTTTTTGACAGAGGGAGTATTTGAGATGGAGGCAGTACATGACTAATGACATCTCTCTGTTGCTTTTTTTTTTTCAAACAATAAAAATTTCTACAAGTGATGTTGAATCCTGTTGTACTCCCTCTTTTCCATAAAATCAATCTAAAATGGATGGAATGTAAGTATGTGAATGAATCTAATATAATTTTGTACCACGTTGCGTGGTGGCTGAAAGGATAACACCAGACATGGGGACAGACATACATACTACTACTAGTACTCCCTCCGTAAAAGAAAAGAACAAATCTAAGATTGGATGTGATATTTTCTAGAACAATGAATAATAGAAGCTTGTCCAGATTTATTATACTAGGAAATGTCTCATCAAATACTAGATTGGTTTTTTTTTACGGAGGAAATATTTAATTATTATAGATTACCATGTTCAATCTTTTCATCAACAACAAAAATGTCAATGGAGTAATCGACGGCAATCCCCGGCAGCTATAGGCCTTGTTTAGTTCCCAAATTTTTTTTCCCTAAAAACATTATATCGAATCTTTGGACACATGATAGCATTAAATATAGATAAAAAACTAATTGCAAAAGTTTATATGGAAATCGCGAGACAAATCTTTTGAGCCTAATTAGTCCATAATTAGCCATAAGTGCTATACATTAACCCCATATGTGCTAATGATGGATTAATTAGGCTTAATAAATTCGTCTCGCGGTTTCCAGGCGAGTTATGAAATTAGTTTTTTCCTTCGTGTCCAAAAACCCCCTTCCGACATTCGGTCAAACGTCCGATGTGACACCCAGAAATTTTCTTTTCGCGATTTAAACACATATATAATAGTAGAGTCAAAATATGCCAAGTTGGAATGAAAACTTTGCATGTCACTTTATTAATTATTCCACTCTCTTGAGGATCTGAAACATACATAGTATTTATTATTATAGGGGTGTTCCCATGTTCAATAATCTTTTCATCAACGAGTACAATGTCAATATGGATCAGTAATCGACGGCAAGACCGGGGCAGGCAGCTAGGCCGGGGAAGAAAGGAATCTGCGCTGCAGTAGCACTCTCTGACCTGTGGGCCCCCTACCCCCCTCATCTCTCTCCAACGTACCCACACAGCGTCCCACCTCGCCGCCGGAGCCAATGAGAGATCGACGACGATCGACGTCTACCAGTCCACGAACGAGTACAATTCGCCATAAATAAATAGGGCGCCACACCCCTCAGCTCGATCCCCTAGCTCTCGATCGGCTGCAAGAAGCTATAGCTAGCCTAGCTCATCTCGCCGGAGAAGAAGCTAAGGCAGCAGGCAGAGAGAGAGAGAGAGAGAGAGAGAGAGAGATGATGGGGAGGGGGAAGGTGCAGGTGCGGCGGATCGAGAACGAGGTGAGCCGGCAGGTGACCTTCTCCAAGCGGCGGCCGGGGCTGCTCAAGAAGGCCCACGAGATCGCCGTCCTCTGCGACGTCGACGTCGCCGCCATCGTCTTCTCCGCCAAGGGCAACCTCTTCCACTACGCCTCCTCCCACACCACGTACGTCACTATCACTACTCCTGCTGCATTTTCCATACAATACGTACAAAATAACAAAAGCAGTAGATATATATAGTTAGCTCAATTAATATGATGGATTATTTCAGAAACATTTAACTTCTCTCTCTCTCTCTCTCTCTCTCTTCCCTGGCATGCATCGTCCATGTATCAAATTAAAAGATGATCAAGAATGCAATGTGAAAAATATATAACAACCCGTGTACACCTGTGAGTTTACAAATACAAGCATTTCAAGCGTTCATAATTTATCCATCCATAAATATAAGTGTTACAGGATATACTACTTATTCTATCGTCTATCACCCTTCTTTCAAACTTCCTCCGGATGCATGCATATCGATCCCTCATTCAACAAGGGATATTTTAGTCGCTAAACAAATTATAAATACCTATATTAATTCATCGATAGAGGGGGAGTTAGCAAGTACTCCCTCTGTCCCACAATGCTGGTCGTCCAAGGAATGTAGAGAAAATAATTGCTCTGGATGAAACTTACCAGGATGCCCCAAAACATTAGTTGCAGTAGTCATTTTAACACAAGTACACCAGCCACATAATGGTGCCATACACCTAATTTGAATGCTTTGGCACCTAGAAATTTGACAGGAGCACTAGATGGTGCTAGGGATGAAAACGGAGCGGATACGGACGGATAATGCTCATACCATATTCGTTTTCATATTTTTTACCGGATACGAAAACGAATACGGATAGCTCGAATACGGAAACAAATACGGATTATCTCGAATACGAATAAGAATCGAATATGATCGGACACGAATACGGAAACAAATTTTTCTCGGAACACGAAAACCAACTCAACTTCTAATGGAAACAAATATCAACATATATAATTAGCTCATTTTATATAAAATGAGGTATAATTTATAAATATTTTTTAAAATTTAAATAATATTAATAGTATGGACTAGTGTTAAGAGATAAACTACTATTAAAATCTATAAACGTATATTGAAGGTCATAGAGTTAGAAAGAAATGGGGTATGTCTCATGGGTCCTGCGGATATCCGAATAGCACTGTTCACCGGATATCCGAATTATTATCCGTATCCGACAGAAACCTTGGTACCATATTTGTATTCGTATCCGGGAGAAAATATCCGTATTCGTATCCGTATCCGAACTATCCGAGAATTATCTGATCCGAAAGGTATCCGTATCCATTTTTGTCCGGAGCGGACGGAAACTATCCGCTCCGTTTTCATCCCTAGATGGTGCCACTTTTCTGCGCCATTATTACTGCCGATGGGCGAGTACAACGTCAACCATTCTAGGATATTTGTTAGCCAGTAAAACGATCTCCTTTGTGGGAGGGAGGAAGTAGACATTGTACACTTCATAGGGCCTGTTTGGAGAACTATCTCAGGGATATTTTTTTGCTAAAGATTATCCCACCAAAATAGCCCTCTTGCTGTTTGGATCCAAGGGCTATTTAGCTATTATTGTACCATCCCAATCATTTGTCTCCACTAAAAGTATACAACAGCCGGATCTTCTATAGCTAATCCAATACAGGCACATACAAGCATACACAATTCCTTACAAGCACAAACTCATAATTTGTCTCAAATGTATAAGCAAGTCCGTAAAATAATTGCACGCCAACCGCGGCCCCCACGTCCGCGGTCGCGGCCACAGTTGGTTGCCATGGCGCGTTGCCGACGGCGACCCATTGCCCCTGATGAGGAGCTGCCTCGCCCAGGGCTGCCGCCGACGATGCCCGATGACGACCCACCATTTCCACCGTGTCCAGCACGGTCACCTGCCGCGCCGAAGTTGAGCCGGCGGGAGCGCGGTGCACCACGAGACGGCCCGGCGGGCGCGTGGTGCACCACGAGACGGCCCGGCGCCCTCTCGACCAGCCCTTACTCCCAGAGAGCGTGGTGCGCGGATGGGAGGGAGACCGGAGCCTCGGCCATGGCCAGCTCCTTCCTCGCCGCCACCCTGGAGGAAGGCACTGTACTCGTGGAGGTGAGGGAACTCCTGGCCCGACGACGCCTGGGTGTTGAGGTCCAGCGTGTCCACGCCGGTGCGGGGAACGGATCCGTGGGAAGGGCCGGACGCCGACGGCTGCGAGGGCCAAATGTTGCCGGCGGCGGACGAAATGGGATCTTGGGAGAAGAAATCGAAGCCGTTGGGGTCCATCTCCGCGCGGATTCGGTGCACAGCGATGCGTCGACGACGGATCTGATGGCCGGCAACGCGGGTGGGGTGAGTTGCCAGTGTGGATGCCTCTCGGTGGATCTGAAGGAAGGGGCAGCGCGATTCGAGGGAGAGGGCGGCGCGGGTGAAGGGCCGGGCGGCGGCGTGGGTGGGGGGAGGGGGAGGAGAAGCTAGGGCCGGGCGGCGGCGCGGGTGTGGGGAGGGGGAGGCGAAGCTGGGCCGGGCGGCGGCGAGGGTTCTAGAGAGTGAGCGGGGGCGACAGCGAGCGGGGGCGAAATGCGATGGGTTTTGCCGCAACGGGATCGGCACAAGTGGGGGAAAGTGGGAATCGGTGGGGCCCACAGCAAAATAGCCCCAATTAGCACCCGGTGGGGGTGATAATTTTTTGGGGTGGGCTATTTGCAAATAGCCCTAAAATAGCCCTCCTGTTTGGATCCCCTTGAGCTATTTTGGGGTTAAAAGGGGTGGGCTAAAAAATATCCCTAGGATCCAAACACCGCCATAGAACGATATTATGCATAGAGATTCTCCTTACTATCTTGTACCACCGGTAAGTACACGGCAATAATTTGCTGAGCCAGCTTTATTTCCTCTTATGGGAACTGTTATACCTGCCCAGGGGTACTATTTTTGGTAGATGCATGTCGGCCCCATTCTTCTCTTGTCCTAGTATATGCAGTATTACCTTAGTCCTATTGCATATACTACATTCGTCCTATTTTAAGTGCATCTATAGTTTTTCGTGCCTAACTTCGATTGTTGTCTTATTTAGAAAAAAAAATTAAAAATATAAGTCACACATAAGATACTTATCATGTTTTATCATCTTATAACAATAAAAATACTAATTATAAAAAAAATTTAAATAAGACGGACGATTAAAATTGGACACGAAAACTCATGGGCTACACTAAAACGAGACGGATAGAGTAGTATTAATAGAGTAGTATTAGGAACAGCCTTTTGACTTGTCTACGGCAATGCACAAATAGTAATCAATATAATCTAATCATATCTTTTATTGATAGGAACAATTGTTTGCACAGTACTGATATATGTATATTTTTTTTCATGTTATTTCAGATCATATACATGAAACTCATAATCAACCTTCTATTCTGTTGATTTATATAATTAATAATTTGAATCTGTAGACAATCCAGATCATGCTATATGGAGTATAACATTATTAATTGCCTCTTTGTAAATAACCATTATCAGAACTATATATTCATCTTCAAACTTTGATCACTACTCGTTCTTTAAAAGACAAATACTTAAAAATGTATTATCAAAGTGTGCCGCATTAATCGTGAAATAGTTTTCGTTTATCATAGTCTAACCATTTGCAAGATATTAGATGCATCCTCTTGTTTTCTCTCAATCCCTCCAACTCAACTCAAATTGTACTCAGTGATGCCATTCCTTTTACACAATTAATTGCATGATGTTACACTTACACACCATTGTTTACGCCCTAACGAAACTAATGTGTAGTGCACGTAAAACGAAGCGATTCATTAGCGCATAATTAATTAAGTATTTAGTTTTTTTTAAAAGGGATTAATATGATTTTTTTTAAAACAACTTTGGTGTAGAAATTTTTTTTAAAAATGTACTGTTTAATAGTTTAGGAAGCGTGCGCGCGGAAAACAAGAAGAAGGAAGTTAGGAACCGAAGTAACAAACACAACCTTAGGGCACTCCCAACCCTCCACCTAGTATGATGTCTATGGCATTAACTACATTGCCATGTAGGACTTTTAGCTTATGTGGCACTATATTAATTAAGAGAGAGGGAGTGAAGAGAGGAAGAAACTGGGTCTCATGCAAGACACAGCTTCAACACGAGAACCTATGCACTAGACACTATCAAGTTTTGCATTGGGAGAGAATAGTGTCTTCATAATAGATGAAAAATAAATATGATTGGTAGAGAAGAGATATGATGTATTTATTAATGGTCTATTATTTTAAGAAACCATGGATTATATAGTGTAGTGTGATTTCTTATTGACATGGCACCATAGACACTGCTTATGGACAATATGGATTGGGACTGTCTTTAATCCAATCAAACCAAGGCCACCCCGTGAATGTTCACTGCATACGCATAGCACTATTCACATGAGACAGACCCATGGCTGGGCCTACCAACCGTCACATATTGATCTGGAAGGACATGCACTATTCAGCGCGTGTGAGATGCCCAATCAAAGAAATAACTGAAATTGATGTAGATAATTTGTTTACTTAAACACCGTGGGAACGCTGGAAAGTTAGGGGTGCCACGTCAGATGTTACTTTTGTAAAAAAGCCCCCGCAGTTCTGTTAATTATGCATTGGTCCCCGCTGATAATTTATAGTATAAATTAGCTAGGTTTGGCTATCGTTGAGCATTGGCCGAAATTCTATTCTATTAACTAAACAAATTAGCTAGGTGACTTGAAGTGAAGTGAGTGTACTCACCATCCAATTATAGTTAATTAGGGTCTGTTTATTTTGTTGCCACTTTCGATTCATTAATATTCATGTGTGAGGGCGGGAATATTGTGAACATTTTAAGTTAGTTTTTTTTATTAGAGGAAGTATATCCTAATAATTGATTCTCATATTTTATTGATAGTATGGAGCGAATCCTTGAGAAGTATGACAGACATGAGTTATTATCTGAAGGAAATAATGTGATTGAAGAGTTCCCTGAGCTGGAGGTGTGTACGTAGGAAGGGGAAATGTTCATCATAACATTTGTACATTCATCCTGTATAAATATGCACTACATTATATATCACTATATCTGTTCAATGTATAGGTAGTAAACAATTTTTAGTTTACATCTTCTGTGTTCTGCGCAGGGAAGCATGAGCTATGACCACATCAAGCTGAGGGGCAGGATTGAAGCTCTAAAAAAGAGCCAAAGGTAACAAAAAATCTAGACAAAACTAATAGCTCTTCAATTTTTCCCTTTTCTGTATTTAACAAATCAACTGGCCTTTCCAATGTAGTATGCCGTGTTAGTTTCAATATACAGAAAATAGGAACAGTATCTGTGGATACCCAAAATATGCTACATATTTCTGTAAACTTTTATTGGTTTATTAATAAGTATTAATTAATCAAGAAGAGGGATATTTAAAAAAAATTAAACCCTGCAACATACTCTTCTGGGAAATGATCAATCTTTTTTACCTGGTGGGAAAGGATGATCATATTATTTTTAGCTCGATTATTTGTCGACACATATACTTTATTGAACATTGTTGATCAGCTCAGCATGCTGAATATATATGGCCTTGAATCAATGCATTAGTCTGAAAAAAAATAGGTGCAAAGCATCTTTCTTTAATAAAAATGTAAGTGCAAAGTATCTTCATCTTCTTGAATCTTGGTACTAGCTAGACAGTGGATTCTTTATTGATGGCTCAAGTTTGTCACTGTCAATACAACCGGTAAAATATTACAATCAATAAAACCTTTTTTTTAAATTAAAAATGTCATATATGTCCATCTAGTTTGATCTTATATATGGATTTGGCTCAAAAGCTGTCTGGGAATCAGTGGACAAATGCTAAAACGCAGACACCTATTCTTGTCAAATGTATATCTCCTTTGTACTTGTGATGCCCTAGTTGTTGGCAGGATAGGGACCTCATGCTCTCATACTTGTCATCCATGGCTCAGGAATCTTATGGGGCAGGAACTTGACTCGCTGACACTGCAAGATATCCAGCAGCTTGAGAACCAGATAGACACTTCTCTGAATAACATAAGATCAAGAAAGGTACAAACACACACACACTGAACTTATAGAACTACAAAAATATGTTTACTTGAGATGATCATATTGTGTGGTGTTGCTAATGGTTTTTAATTTGTAACTAGGAAGGTAACCCGCGCGAGGCATGTGTTGTACACTAAGTTTGAGATATTTATAAGAGCAAAATATTGAACGGAGAACATCTAGCACAATTTCTCCATAAATTGTTTTCATCGGCATTAATTGCTTTTATAATTTTATAACCTATTAGTTTTATATTGTATCATATTTAAATAATATCTATTAGAAATTATTTATAATCTTCTTTATCATTTGAAATTAAGAGACTTATTTTTTTTAAGAAAACATGTTAACGAAAGTAAAAATATGGTGTTTTTGAAATTACATATCTATGGACCATAGTTCATTAAAGGATTAATTAGGTGGAAGATGAAGCTCCACTAAACTTTTGGGTTTATATAGTCTAATATGGTTGATGTAGTTTGAGAGGCAATCCATATATGAACATTTCATGTAGGGTGGGTGAGAGGCTCCATGCAGCCTAACATGAATACGATAACGACGAAATATAATTGCGCAGTAATATTTTAAAAATATTATGTACCATGAATAAATTCTTTTTTTTAGGTAAGATAGATTTAACGATTATAACTAATAGTTTACCGGTTTAAAAGGCACATGAGTATTGCAGAATGTAGCTTAAAAATTATGGTTGTTTTAATATTCAATGTTATTGCGAAGTGAGCGCACCTCAACTGGTTAGGTTTCTTGTGGTGGAACTTGCCCACTCGGATTCAAGTCCTAGATTTGATATGGGTGTTGGCATTTACGACTAATTATTCTTTCAGTGGTAGGTGACGTATCCATCGACAGCGAGACGACATGGTAACTTCTTCAATCTTAAAATATGTCGGCTCAGTCTTTCGGAGGTACTAAAGGGGTAGGGTGCGTAGACGCTGTGTTTCTAAGAGATTTCCAATATTATTAATTGTTTCCGCTAAAATCTATTTATTTTTTTCTTAAAAATGTATGGATTAGTTTTTGTCAACAATTAGTGAACAATAGCTAGTCCGTAGAATATATATCTGATCCAAAGTAATGAATTTTTTTAATAATATAGTTAACTTGGTTCTTTAGTTTTAAATTTTATAGTAAATAATCTAATTTATCTCCTACTTATGCTACATTCGATCTCATTGGTTGAGCTTATGTAGGGCACACAAAACGATATAGGCCATTAACGCATGATTAATTAAGTATTAAATATTACAAACGTGAAAATAGTTTTTTTTTTTAAAAAAATGTATAGAATGTATTTGCACAACATGCGCAGATTAGTAGTTTAAATGAGGCATAATTTTTAGACAATACATTATTTATTTCTGTTTTTGACAATATGTCCTGAGTAATTTATTACTCATTATTTCATCTTGAACAATCAAGATACGTTTTTTTGATATTTTATATTATATTATAGATCTACTTTTGGCTGTGCAAGTTTGTAAAGTAATATATTTTTCTTATACTACCACCTTCACTAAATATATGACGTTGGTCATCAATATATAAAAAACAATAAAAAAAATACAAAGGAAGTACAAAGAGCGTTCTTTTCTTTCGGTAGTTTCACTAAATATGGCCGTCATAAGAAAATACAGAGAAGTGCAAATCCACCTTTAAAAAAAGCGATGTTTTTTTTAATTTCCAGTAGTACGTACGTATACAGTTTTTTTTTTCTGTATATTATTTCTTCTTTTCTAGGCCGTGGTTGTTAATCCGTATGTACGTATGCCTTCTCAGCTTTTTCTAGTCAATTTTTTTATGGAAAGTATTGCTCGGTAAATTAGGAGGGGTAGATTACTATTTATAACAGATCTAATCCAATGGTGTAAACTAATGGGTCCACCAACTTAAATGAAAATCGAGGGCTAGATTTTTTTTCTTTTTTATTAGAATTTCTAAGTTTTTTCTATTTTATTATTGCGCCATGTGGCAGCTTGAGAGCGTTTTTAGAGCACCATGTGGCAGTATGAGAGCGTTTGTAGGAAGTTTAATGGACTTTTAGTATATAATAATAGAAGATAGATAGATAGATAGATGTTTTAGAACAATCTCTTGCTCAAGTCGATCGCCGAGCTCCGACAGAAGGCAAATGCTAAAAACCTTTTGATTCTTAAACTTGTAGGTGAAATGGTTATAAATCTTCTTAATGTTAGTCTTTTTTGTCTCTCTCCAGGAAAAGTTGCTGATGGAGAAAAACACTATTCTGGAGAAGGTATTCTGTTAATTTTACTGATGGAATGAGAAAGCATATCCTAATTATTTTCAGTTACCACTGCATGATTCATGTAGCTGTACTCAGCTCAACTGAACTGAATCACTAATTTTGTGTTAATTTGTCCATGAAAAAAAAAAAAGAAAATTACTGAACTGGAGACACTGCATACATGCATCAGGGCGTCACCCACTAAAGCTGCTGCTCCTCCTGCCTGCAATACTGCTGATGCATTTGTTCCCAACCTCAACATCTGGTGAGCCACACCATCCAACTGCCACCATGCAATGCTTGCCATGTTGTTTCTTCAGATTCACCTCAACTGAAACTCTGATACCTGGCCTTCAAATCAAACCGCAGCTGCGGCGATTCCGGCGAGCCGGAAACCGTGACGGCGCCACTTGGCTGGACCAGCAGCAACAATGGCTTGCCATGGTGGATGCTCCAGTCATCATCGAACGGCAAGAGCTAGAAGATGTTCAGATGAAATGGTCCCTGCAGCCATTGCATGGTTGCTGAATAATGTCGTCCCAGATGGTTAGGCAAGCAACCTAGCTAGAACTTTCAGTTAGTGAGCGGTAGTAGTATCTCCCCCTTCTTAATCCCTACTATACTCCGTAGATTAATTCTAAGCATCCTTTTGTTTCCATTATCTACGCTGCTGGTTTGATGAAATTCCTGTGTTGTATTCAGCTGCATTGGGATCATTGCTCAGCCTTTGGTCATGTCTCTCACTGGAATCAATGTGTCATGTCTGTCTTGCAATCACTTCGATCTGGTATTCTATTGGTCAGTCTAATGAGTGTACCTTCTAGTACTCAGTTTTGTCTGAATTGTTTCACAGGCAAACAGAAAAGGCATACTTTTCTCCGTTCAAATATAGTAATCTAGTACTCCCTCAGTTTTCGTTTCATAACGTAAGACTTTCTAATATTGTCCATATTCATATGGGTGTTAATAAATCTAGATACATATGTGTGTCTAGATTCATTAATATTTATATGAATATGGGTAATGCTAGAAATTCTTACGTTATGAAACGGAAGAAGTACTAGAAAGTCTTACGTACTCTATGGTGTGTCTAACCTAGTAGTAGATTGCTACTCCCTCCGTCCCTAAATATTTGACGCCGTTGATTTTTTTAAACATGTTTGACCGTTCGTCTTATTCAAAAACTTCTGTGAAATATGTAAAACTATATGTTTACATAATGTATATTTAACAATGAATCAAATGTTAGAAAAAGAATTAATAATTACTTAAATTTTTTGAATAAGACGAACGGTCAAACATATTTAAAAAAATTAACGGCGTCAAATATTTAGGAACGGAGGGAGTATATTTTAAAACGGTGGGAGTACTGTTTTGTTTGCGTGACATGCCTCAGAAGGTGCTGGGCCACACTGCTGCAGAAATGCAGGAGACAACAGCTAACAGTTCATAGGGAGAAAAAGTGCAGTGTGGTAGCAGAGGTTGTTTCAGGCAACCACTGATATTCCTAGAAACTAATTGTGTCTATTTATCTGTATGCACTGTTAACATCATTCAGTAATACATATCTTGCTAGATGCATGAATGTGACGGATGCAACTCTGAAATAAAGATGGGGCGGAGATGTTTGATAAAGATAATCGAGCACAATACATACCATATCATATTTGTATTGAAATAGGATAAATAATAGAATGTAATCAATAAATTAAGACACAAAAGGACATTCAACATAAAAAAAGTAGAGTACAATTTCGGAGTCGCATTGCAACCACAGGGTAGACCGGTAGAGGCATGGCCCTACGCATATCACGACGTCACGCAGATACAGAGTTATAGCGGTGAAGAGGATGAGCGGCGAGCCACAAGCAACAAAGACAAACAATCAAGGGTTGGAATCATGCCTAGCCCTGAGTGCTTCTTTGGTTTGATGGACTACTTATGGGCTAACGGGTGATGGCTAATATGGGTGAGCCAATATTAGAAGGAGGTTCGGGGGATGTGGGCTATACCTGGACTTGTTGACGCATTGTGTAGTTTGGAGGATGCTGAAAGTTCCTAAATGTGTTAAGGAGCTGATGCTACAGGATTGTAATTTTCACTCACAGGTCACCAGGACATGAAACAATATTCAGTTCCTTGTCTCGAGATTGTCCCACTATTTTGACATTTTGACCCTTTCTAAGAATTTATTTGAAAATATATCATGAAAAAAACTAACAAAAATACACCTCAGTCCCAGCGTCATTGTTCTTAGCGCTCAAGTATAAAATCTCAGCGCCATATTCTTTGCGCTGATAATGTTTATATGCTTCGTCCCTCATGACAGAGGTAATGGAATGGTGGTTAGGTAGCCTTCAATCCAACACAATGTTGTGGGTTCTTGACTCTCTCTGCCCACATGATATTTTTCTTTTACTCAACTATACAGTCCGAGCATACTTCAAACATATAAATATACTTTCATTCTTTCTCCCACATTATTATTTTGAAACATATACTTTACTTCAACAGTATATTCAAAGTTATATATAGTACTTCCGTTGTTTTTTTCTCACAGTATTGTTTCCAACTTTTTTGTATTAACCGCTTGGGGAAAACAAACCGAAATCAAATTTGAATATATTTCACCGCAAGAATTCGATTTGCTTCTAAAACTGTACTTCTACCTCTTGGGAAAAAAAAGTAAAATCATATATATTCAAATGCAAGGATTCGAGTTGCTTAACTGTACTTCTACCTCTTGGGAAAAAAGTGCCGGAAGAAAAGAACGAAAGATTTCCTTGTACCGCTAAAAAGTGCCAAAAGAAAAAAAAAAGAAGCTTAGGCTGCTTGCTACCTCACGCATGCATGCACGAAGGCCACAACACCACACCCTACAACAACATTATTACTCCCTCCATTTCTAAATATTTAACATCGTTGGTTTTTTAGCACATGTTTGATCGTTCGTCTTATTCAAAAACTTTTGTGAAATATGTAAAACTATATGTATACATGTAAGTATATTTAACAATGAATCAAATGATAGGAAAAAATTTAATAATTACTTCAATTTTTTAAATAAGATAAACGGTTAAACATATTTTAAAAAGTCAACAGCGTCAAAATATAAATATTTTGAAACGGAGGGAGTAGTTAATACGATATATGCTAGCTAGCCATTAGTTGTGAGATCAGCTAACGAGCATCAAATTAAGATGTGGCGCTGAGATATAAGTACTTCAACGCCAAGGATTATGACGCTGAGATTGAGTTTTATTTTTATTTTGTAAAAGTTTTTTGTAGGGTCTATTCTTTAAATAAGTGTTTAGAAAGGGTCAAAATGTCACATTTTGTCGTCCCTGTCCCAAGAATGCGGGGACAATATATCGTCGTCTCTGCCTTGTTAAAACCTTTCGAAACTAGTGCTACGCATTTCTTTGATCCCCTTACTTGACCTATTGATCCAGGAACTTCTGTGACTACTTGCATCATTTTCCCTGCCAACCATCACGACATTTGATCAATTATAAGAATTACCAAGCCTATGGAACCTGATCCAGGGAGCCATAACTCTGGATTTTACTATGCGTACGGTGATGAAATTATCGATCTGGAGATGGTACAACAAAGGATAGTACTCAGCCACATCGGCATACAAAGTTCAGTTCCAAATTCCAAGGATGCATGGTTATACTATCCATTGTTCTGTTTGACGCGTATGTTTCTCAAACTATATAAACGATTCATTTTTTTTAAAAAAATATCTACAGAAAGTTGCTTTAGAAGATAATATTAATCTATTTTTTAAGATTTTTTTACTAATACTTAATTAATCATACGTTAATGAGCCACCCTATTTTGTGTGTGCACGGTAGAAGTTCCCAACCTTCTATCCCAAACACACCATTAGTTGAAGCTCTTGCTTTTAATTTCAGTATGTAATTGTAAACCTTTGTATGCGTTTCTCTTCATACACTTCTTGATTGAATAAGCAGAGGTCCTGCCATTTTATTTAAAAAAAGAACATTTTTACTTAATCACTAGATCCCTCTTCACAAAATAAATAAATAAATAAATAAATAAATAAGCATATAAAATCCATCAAATTTGCTGAAGATATGATGGGCCCTAAAAGATTTGGACAGGCCGCAAACTCTAAAGAGGCCCAACATAAATTTGGTCCGCTATGAGAAGTGAGCTGATTAATCATTGAGTACAAATTTGTTCTGCACACATTTATTTTTTTTTAAAAGGAAAATAACTAATCGCCCAAACAATGCTACACCACTTTGCCTTTTGACTCGCATGCATGACTAGTTGATTAGACCAGCAAAAGAATTACAGTAAAATCTACATCAGGATATGTGGTTATCTCAGTACCAAACAACACTAAGGGTGTGCTTGAGAAGAAGGGGATTGAGGAGATTGGGAAGATACGCAAAACGATGTGAGCCATTAGCTCATGATTAATTGAGTATTAATTATTTTAAATTTTAAAAATGTATTAATATGATTTTTTAAAGCAACTTTCCTATAGAAAATTTTTGCAAAAAACGCACCGTTTAGTAGTTTGGGAAGCGTGCGTACGAAAAACGAGGTGCTTTCTCCCTCAGTATCCTCCAAACGAACGCTACCTAAATATTTAACAGTAACTAGAGGAACCAATTAATGACTGACTACATCTTGTTCAGGTACATATATGTACAGAAAGAAATAGCTGAAGTTATCCAACAAGTGCACAGCTAGAAATAGTACTGTAAGTAATACCTACTCTTTGTACATATACATTTGTATCTGTTAGCTAAAATACAAGTGCAATTCGTACAAATTTGCATTGGCTCTAATCAATTCATACACAGTATAGTATACTATCTTCTTTTCTTATAGATAACGCCATTAACTTTTAACATAACATTCAACCATTCATATTATTAAAACATTTAGTGTAAATATTTAAAAGTATAAGTCACACTGAAAGTTTCTTTAATGATAACAAAGTCATGACAAAATAAATGATACCTATATAATTTTTAAATAAGACGAATGATAAAATATCATGCCAAAAATCAACGATGTTATCTATTAAAAACGGAGGACTACCTCCTAAAGGACTGTAAAAAATCACTTTTGAGGAAAACGTGAACTGCCATTGTCAGTATTTCTCTGTGAAATGCCAACTGAGAGAAAGTGTAAAAGAAAGATTTTTCCCTTCATGGTCCCAAACTTTTTACCTTAAGACCCAGTGAACTTCCATGAAAAATTGCATTTCGGAAGCTGGTGTTTTTTTGTGAAGAAAATGGTGTAGTTGTTGCCGCTATTGTGTATCCGTCCAGTCCAAAATCCTGAAATCAATTATAAACAAAATTATGTAGCCACAGCACATGAAGCCTAGTGGTGCTAGCAACTTTAATACTAATTCGTCTCTTGAATTCTTTGGATAGTGAGTGTCATGGTTGGGAGTGTTAAGGATAGACGATAGAGTACTTGTGAATATTCCAAATAAAACATAAAAAAAGAAGATGATTTGGTTGAGAAAGTGCAGGCCTTTCATAAGAACAAATCCCAAGGAGCACATGAGTACATTTTAAACAACTTCAATACAACGATTCATGGAACATGCTAATTGGACAGCTTGGGTGCTAAAGCTGCATCATGTTTGGGATTGGAATAAATACATGGCTACCAGTAGTTAAGCATATTGCAGTGGCACATCTGATTGTTCTGTGAAAGGTGGTGCCATCATGAATCCTAGCCTTTTCTCTGAAATTCGGAAACATGGAACATTCAAGAAGCTGTAGTAAAGCGATTTTTATAGAGATAATCTAACTCTTACTAGTAAACAAGAAAAATTAACTAA